AGGGGCTACCTGTGGGCAGGGGCTTGCATGGATCAGAGGACATCTGGACTTCAAGGGTCTGGAGAAGAGGGTTGATGACAAGCTACACGTCCAGTGAGCGCCTGCCAAACCCTGGGTCCCTGTGTGTGCCAGGTAGATTTGGATGAATGATGCAAAGGCAGGACAGGAACCCACAGAGGGACTGGACACCCCTTTAGTGGTCAGCCCTGTTGGTGGCAGCTCTCCCAATCACCTGGGTCACACTATCCCCTCTCTGTTCACTGTCATCCTAGGAGCCAGCCCACCTCTAGCCAGGGCTCAGGGTCCAGATGCCCAGTGAGTGCTGAGATGTCTGACAGGTGTGTGTGTGTAGGGGGGGAGGAGGGGTCTGGCTCTAAGTCAGCAGGCTGGCTGTCTGTCTGAGCTCAGGTCTCAGACCAGCCTCAGCCACAGTGGTCAGCGGGCACTGCTCTCTGGTCTGGTGCCAGCTGCTGCCCTGGGTAAGCCCAGGAGACCAGGTTGGACCAGCTTCCTGGAACTGGCACAGCCTGCTGGCCACTTCCTTTTCATCTCAGGGCCCACAGGAGAGCTCTGGGTCAAATGATACTTGTTGGCCTGGCAACTCGGCCCCTCCTGGGCAGTTTCCGACAGCCGGACCCCACCTGTGTGAGGCAGCACTGCTCATAGGTCTCAGACTGCCTTTGCCCCAAGAATTGGCCCTTTTTATCAAGGACCCTAAAACCTGTGTAGAAAGCACCACCCAGATGAGGAAGCAGAGAGAGTGAAGTATCTCAAGTCAGACTGGTGGGTGGAGACCCCCCAGAATACATCCTGCTCAGGGTCAGGGAGAGTTCCAGAGGCGTTACCCAACAGTGTCCCGAGAAATAACAGATCGAGGGGAGGAGCCACCGTGTCATCGAGCTTGTGCCCAGCCAGTGTCCTCGGCTCTTGCGGTCGTTGGGGGATGTGCTGCCCTGCGGTCTGCAGATGACTGATCAGAACCGAGCCACCCAAATAGGCCAGCACTGGAGTTGGACCTCACCGCTGAGGCCAGGGGGTGAGAGCAGGAGGCCCAGCCGAGGGGGTCTTTCTTCACTGGGCAGCACTTCCAGCCTTTGAGGCATCCCCGACATGAGGATGGGGGAAAAGCAGAGCCACCACAGGAGGAGGAGGAGGGCAGGAGCCCCTCAGCAGAGGGATGGTGACTACAGCACAGCCCTAGGATTTGGGCCCTTTGCAGAGCTGGAGCTGGGTCCCCTGTGGCCCACTAGGTGGGTTATGTTCCAGCAGGACAGGAAGGGACAAACCGGAGGATTGGAATGAGCCAGCGCATACAGCCCAGAGCTGTCTTCTCGCCAAGGGGCCTTGGGCTTTATCTCCTTTGCCCCAGCTGTCACCAGCCAGCCATGCTTATCTGGGGGTGCTGGCTCAGGAGCCCTGGAGAGGGCTGGCTTCTAGCCAGAGTGCCCTCCTGATAGCCACCCACCTTTACTAGAATCAGGGGTTGGTGGCTTGTGCCCTGGTGTATCCCATTCTCTGCCTCACTGCAGCTCAAGTACTTTCTCCTCATCCCCTTCCTGGAGGGGCTGCGAGTTAGTATTCATGGTGACAACAGCAGCAAACCCTTCTTGCCGCTCTGCACACCCGGAACCTTCCAGTGTGCCCATGAGCCCCCATCCTGCAGGTGTGGAAACTAAGGCTCAGAGAGTCAGGCATCTTGTCCAGGTGGTGGAGTTTAAAGCAGGGAAGCTGGGCTGCAATCCAGCCATCAGCTCCTCCCGGGGCTACTTCTGTTAAAGACACTGAGTCCTGGTAGATTCGCCTATTTACCTAAGATTATATTTCATTTAGGAAATTTTACAAAGGAACACTATGAGAACAATAAAGTACTTGTTTTCTCATCAGCCAAAGTCAATGAAAAGTAAAATTTCATCATGTGTTTTGGTTCTTTTTACAAAGAAACAAATATTATAAAGTTCCCTTTGTTCCGTGATCTGGTCCCTTCTCCTCCCAGACTGTGGTCGCCTGCTCACAATCTGAGGGGAGAGCCTCAGTGCAGAGGGGCTCTGACACCTGCTGGGCAGGGCTCAGCACATTTTGGCCGGGAACAGCTGGGTTGGATCTTGGAATGGACTGGTGTGTGCCCTTTGGTACCAATGGAGGGGCTTTGGGGTGTCAGAGGAGGGACCTCTGTCCCACCCTAGTGACAACTAAGGCCCCCTCAGTATCAGTGACCACCACAGTAGAACAGCCCAGGGGCTGGGGGCTCAGGAGTAGCTTCAGAGTCCTCATCTGTGAAATGCAGAGCTGCCCCTGCTCACCACCGAGTGGAGAGACCCCAAATGGGGTGAGTCGAGCAGAGGTGACAGCCCAGCTGGCTGCACTTGGTGTGGCAGTGCTGCTCTGGTGTCTGGAGCCAGGTCCAAGTGCCCGCTGGGAAGAGAGGAAGAGAGGACCAGCTTGTCTGAGGGCGGGCGGCAGCGGAAGAGCCACCTCAGGATGCAGAGGGCTTGGCCACACCTTCCCCGTCAGCCCCGCCCCGCTTCCCTCAGCGTGAGTGGAGGAGTGATGCAATCTGCCAGCCTCTTGCTGCAGCCGGAAGGCTGTCCGCTTTGGGCGGAGGAGTCTGAGGCACTTAGTTCAGGATTGTCTCTCACATAAGGAAATGGCAGGCTGTCTCAGGAAAGCCTTGGGGCCCCGGGGGCAAGAAGGAACAGATTAGAACCTGGGCTTGCCCTCCAAGGCCCCTCCATCCTGGATCCCAGCCGCTGGGCAGGTTGGACCAGAGAGCACTAGACTGGAAGCATTTCACCGGAAGCCCAGAAAAAGGGGATTACCCTCCTCTCCCCACCCACACTGCCAGTCCTGTGGGCTCCAGAGACCCGGGTCTCAGTCCTGGGTCTCCCCATACCACCTTGGACAGGGGGGTTTCTATGAGCCTCTGTTTCCTCTTCTGTGCTTGGAATGGCAGTGCTGACATGCATGCTTAATACAGGGCAACTCTGTCCCCATTGGTCCTGAGGGCCAGGACTGAGCATGTGTCCACCCCAGAGCCACACAGTAAAGGCCACGGGTGCTGTTTGCCTCACGTACCCATCGGCCCTCTCCTCTGAGCCTTTCAGCTCCTGCTGCAAGAGGTGGCTTCAGCACTGTGTCATAGACACTTTTGTCACGAGCCCCACATTGTCATGGCCTTATTTAAACTCCCACCACCCCAAGGCAGCTCATCGTACTATGAGCCTGACAGGTGGGGAACCACAACCCAGGGGGCTCCACCAGGGTCCCCACCAGTAACGCCATACCCGGTCCAGGTGTCACAACTCTCGGCTGTCATGCCCGGTACAGGGGGACTTCTGAGTACTTTAGATTAGGAATAGCAGCCTAAAGCAAATACTTTCAAAACATTTTTAGACTAAACATAACATACAGTCTCTGTCAGCCATTGCATCAGCCAGGGTTTAGAGCAGGGAAGGAAAAACGAGGGGGAGGGGTTGCTATTAAGCTCAGTTAATTTCCTAGAGAAAAGGCAGGCAGAGCAGTGAGGCCTTAATCCTATCCAGAGCACACTGGGAAGATTGCCTGTTTTCCTTCTACCTGAACTGGTGGGTCTCATCCAGGTAATTAGCGTGGATTTATCTCTTTGGGGCCTTATCCTCAAACAGTAAAGCGACCTGTAATTACTCTAGCTGGGGAAAGATGCCACCTGGGGTCCCCCACCCCGGGTTAGTTCTGTCTGGAAAAGACAGGATGAGCAAAAGGCCTTTCAGCCTTTCTTACCTTACCGAAGCCTTCTGAGGAGGTGACGGGTATGCGGGGGACCGGGGAGAGAGGCTCTTCCCATAGGCCCTGGCCACGCTGGTTAATGTTTAATGACCAGCCCTCCAAGGAGAAAAGGCCCCCGTCTGTGCCCCTGCCAATGCCTAGTGTAGGTGCTCCCCAGGTGGCTGGTTTCTAGCATTTGTGTGCAGGGAGCTGGAATGAGAGTGTGACACGCTCACCTGAGAGTGTGGCACCTCAGCAGCATAGAGACCCAAGAGCGTAGATGACTTAGAGATGGGAAGGGATCAGTCTTGAGTGTTCGTTTCCTTTGTTTTAAATTTGATAATTCTGATTCATTGTACGTTTACGGAGTGGCTGTGCTAACAGCCAGCTCTCAAGATCCCTAAACACTTAGTGTCGGCTCCTGAGCTTGTGTATCATCTCAGCCTCCACCTCTCCCTCGGCGCAGGGCCGGGGTCTTACAGGCGCCCAGGCAGCGCCTGCTTCGGGCGCATTTCTTGAGCCTGGCTTAGCTGCTGCCCTGTCTCTGTCTCTGTCCCCATCGAGGTCGGGGGAAGCCACCAGTTTTTCCGTTTCAAGGTACGCTGTTAAAACCACAGTAGAGCTGAAGCTCCTGTGTTGTTTCCTGTACCGGCTAGGCTGCTTGCTTGACCCCGGGGCTGTGGCACCCCCATTTCAGGTGTCAGAATTGCCCTCATGGTCCACCATTTGGCTTGTCACATGGGATTTGTGTAATAGGATACCTCACCTGTTAACTCTGTGGAATTCTAGAAGATTTTCTTTGAAAAAAAGGGTTTCCCACCTTCAAGAAGTTTAGTAGACTGTGAGTGAACCTGATGAATTATGCTAAATGTTGAGTGGGTGGAGAAAAGTGAATGCAGTCCCCCTCCAAATGGCAGGTTTGCTATTTACCTGCATTCAAGATAGTGCCCAACTCAAGGCTTGACTCAGGTGTGTGGAGGGTGGGGGAGAGGAGGAAAGGTAGTTGCTTTGATTGTCAGTTCCTTAGGACATTGAAATTCATTCATTTTTTAAAATCCTTTGTGATAGCCCAGGGGCACCTGGGACCACATCTCAAGAGCCTGTGGTTCTCAACCTTTGACCTTGGGCCTGGAGAGCTGTCCATCCAAACAAGTCCCAGAGGGTGAGACCCCACCAAAGGGTCTGGGTTCCTGCTCGGCCTGCCCGTCTCGAGTGCCGACCGTCTGCCCAGTGGGACTCACTCTGCCCTGTCTCCACAGTGCTGCTCACGGCCGTGAACTGTTACAGCGTGAAGGCTGCCACCCGGGTCCAGGACGCCTTCGCTGCCGCCAAACTCCTGGCACTGGCCTTGATCATCCTGCTGGGCTTCATCCAGATCGGAAAGGGTGAGTGTGGCCTCTGGGCCTCACAGCGGTCCTGTGAGGCTCTGCTGTGCCAGGGTAGAGGGGTCCCCCGCTCGGAGTGCCCCTGGACCCACCAGGTTCTCCGACACATCCCCTGCTCTGCACCCTCACCCTTAATGGCGGCGGCGGTGGGAG